GATGATAAGCACGTCCAGGCCAGCTGCTACCGGCGTCGAGGGGCCCAGCCACCTTTGCGCACTGTGGCCAGCCGCCTGCAAACGCCGCAACAAATCGTCTGCCGAGGTCGCAAAAGGCACAATCCACAGCACCGTGCCGGCATGCGGGTGACAACCCAGTTTGGGCATGGTACAAAGCGTCTTGTCCATGCCTGACGGTGCAACGACAATCAGCCAGCCGTCCTCGGCCCGATGCTGGTCAATGGCCGCTGCCAGGTCCAATTGTTCTTGGCTTTTAAAGCCGTGGCCCCACGAGATGCGTGCCTGCTGGGCCAGTTGGGTCATGTAGGCTACATCATGCTCAGCTTGCGTATCCATGATGACGCGCCCGCCTACTTCAAGCTTTGATGACCCGCTCCAGCTTATGGGGTGGCGAACTTCCAAAGCTTCCTTGGCGGCTGTGAGCTCGGCCACGCTGCGCTTGCGGTCAAGACCCAAAAAGGCATGCCAGCTTTGTGAGGCCAGCTGATGCATCAGACGTGATGACATTTTGGCTTGCAATTGGTAGCTTGTTGCGGTAGCAAAGAAGTCTTTGGCCATGTTGCCCAAGGGCTGTGCCTGGGTGCGCATCAGGCTACCCAAAGTGCTCGCGGGGTCGGCAAAGAGCCGGTTTGTCACAAATGTTGTCATCCAAAAGGTAGCAGCGTGTCGCCACTTTGCCACTCCAAGCGTAGGCTGATGCAGGTAGGTGGCCATTTGTCGACGAAAGGCAGCGTAGATAGAGGCTGGGCTGAGCATGGTCTGCAGAGGCGCAATGTTGAAGAGCAAGTGGCTGTTGTTGTAGTGGCGTTGAGCGTCCTGTACCTCGCGTCGCAAGGTCATGCCATCGTCGTGGCTCATGTGGTCTTCATCCCCCTCGTCCTCCAATAAATCCTCCTCTTCCTGATCATTGTCGTAGGTTCCACGCCCGCCATCGCGAGGGGTTTGAAGAGCGCCCCGCTTCTCCAGCCAGCTGGTTAGCATCTGCTCCAGAGGCTTGCACAAGAGCAAATACATGAAAATCAGCTTGCTGACTTCCTCGTCCATGTACCGAAAGGCGTGCTGCTCATCTAGAGAGAGCCCGTGGGTTTTACCCAGACGAGTCAATATGGAGAGCTGCTTTCCAGCAAAAAACACGGCCCGTTGCCGGCCCACGCCATTTTTGTAGGATAGCCCTTGATATACGGTTGCTTGAGGTGGCAGACCTAACAAAACGCCAAAGCCAATGCAAACAGATAAGAGTGGTACAATAAACATGCCAAGCTTCTCAAACAGAGTCTTTGCTCGATCGCAAGCGTACCTCCAGCCATGTGGGTGTAGGTGAGCGCCAGCTGGTTGAACCTGCCCACAAATAGAAGCCATTCCCGCACGCGGTCTTCTCGAAAGGTCGGCTCTTCATCAGCTCCTTCTGGGCCAAGCTCCGTGCAGATAAATTCTTGCCGCAAGCTCGGAGTCTGGCCAATGTGATCCAATAGGGCCCGCTCAGCTGGGCTGTCATGGCCCACCCACCAATTCTTGACCCTGTTGGTCCGATCCTCCTTCGACCGTAGCCGGACATACTCGAGAGCATGTCGCTCTCGCAGATCCGATCCCAGCAAGAGGTGGGTGTCTAAAATTTCTTTCATATCGTTGCGCATCTGTACCAGGGCGGTCCCAATCTCTTTCACGTTGAGTTCAGTACCCTGACAAACAATGGTGTGCAGCGCCTCGTCCGTCATGTCACCGTCCGTTTGCACGTCAATATCCACTCCAACCTGCCCATCGGCCGTGCTGGAAGAGCGAGCCGCCGTCATGCGCTGGCTCAGAAAATGCACCAGCCGTCCAGACTGTAGAAAAGGCCTGAGTTTACCCGCAGTGGCCCATCGCTGTGCCTTGCCAAACCGGAGCAAAAACAGCTTGAAAATATAAATCAAACCGGCCTGCGTTGTGGTCCAGCGCCGGATGTCTTGCAAGACACCGCTTCCCTTGGACACGGCCGTGCACAACAAAAACACGTTGACAAAGTGCACCTTGTCGTTGTCAAACAGATGTAGCTCTGCATTCACCAGTGCCAGCCACAGTGCCGCCAAGGGCTCGACAAGATCCTCCCCGCTCAGTCCCGCATCCAGCGCGTCTTGCACGGCCAAAGCAGCTGTAGTTATGGCCTCCCCACGACTGGCGAGCACCTGGCTCAAAAAGCTGGATGGCTCGGGGGCTGGCAGTGCGTCCAGTAGCAGTATAAAATGCACCAACCGCGCTCCAATGTTTAGGTATCTGCTCATCGTGCCAGGAGATACTTGGGGTAAAGTTTGTGGCTCAACTTGCAACTCTTCATCTTCGAACAAGGACGCCACGGAAGCAGCCGCCAGGCCGTGCTGGGACAATTGTCCGTGGGCCTCCCACAAGAGCTCGTGCATGCCTGACACGAGTGGTGCGGGTGGGGTGTCGTGGCCCAGCTTGAGAATTTGCTCTGGGGTCAGCTCGCTCAGGATCAGCGTCATGCCCACACTATCGTAGAACGGGTGCATCTGGTGAACGCCGTGCGGGCAGCGCTTCTCCTCGGCCTCTGACGCCATGGCCTGGGTGCTGGAGATCAGCTGCTTGAACCGCTGCTGCTCCTCCAGCTCTTCCTCGTTTTCGCTGACGTCGGCTGCCGAGGCATCGTGGCCATCTTCGACAATGACCTCGATACAGCGGGCTCCGGCACCGCGCAACGGCTTTTGCAGCTTGACGCGTCGAGGCGGCTGCTTGGCCTCTGATTCGTCGGGATGCTCGGCTACGATGTGATGCCACAGACTGCCTTTTGTGGTGAAGCAAGCCTGACACAAGGGGCAACCCACGCCGTCCAGAACGGGAATGCCTTCAATAGGCTTATGGGGCCCAGATTCAACTCCGAGGTCAAGCAGCGGCTCTTCGGGCTGCAGTGGGCGCAGGAGTGCCATAGCTGCATCAATGTCTTCCTGGCTGCACCGAACATGGTGTTTTTTGAACAGATGGTGCGTCGCCCTGCCTCTCAGGACATGGCCGCACTGCGTGCACACTGGAGATTCAAAAACAGGGGATACAAGGCAACCAATCTCGCCCATGAAGATTCGAGCCGCGGCTATGCCGTGCTGTTGATCAAGCTTGACCACACGTTTTTTCATGCGCGTCCGAGTAGGTTTTTGGCGAGCAGGCAGCCGGTCGCAAGTCACAGCCGCCGGTATTGCTGCTCTGGGTGTCGTCTGTTTCTCATGCAGATGCTGGAGGTGTGATTTTAGGTTGGCTGAGAGTCCATGGCGATAGTGGCATCCTCCCACGGGGCAATGAAAGCAGCCATCATCTTCTCGGTATCGAAGCAGCGATGTTCCATATAGTGTGATGCGCGTGCTCTTCTGGTGCACCTACGAAAACAAGGACGACGAGGCGTGCGTCCTTGAGGCTGATGAGACGTGTTCAAGGACAATGTTTTCTTCCCCTTTCATTCTTGAACAGCGATCGAGAAGCGAGATGAGCCAACACACCAGAGCAACATGTTGATCTCTTGCGGCACGGTTATGGAATGCCTGATCGCACTGTCAGCACAGCATTTCCTGTACCAGTGACATCTTGGGTGAACACGAGCAGCTCAGAGCGAAGGTCGAGTCAACTCGAACGTCAAAATAAAAAAAAATAAAAAAGTAAGTGAATGTGTAACGAAAGCCACACTTAATGACATTGTTCATTTGCACAGGGTTTTGTCTTGGGACAACCAGTACACGCAGCTATGAAGTCGTTCTGTCGGGCTCACGTCGTGAGGACTGCAAAAAGCTGCTGAGAGTGATTCATCTGCTCCATCATCTTGCAAAGATATGGCAGAGTGCGAGCATCCGCTGGTCTTTCAACGCGGCACTATTGCTGCGTGCTTGTGAAGCATCGCTTACCTTTACACACAGCTGGCATCATCCACCATTGGCCCCTCACCAGACTCTCTTTCGACCCTCGCTTGGGCATGCGGTCCGAGGCATCTCGTATGCAAAAAGCAAACATGCATGTTGATGACTCAATTTGTCCAGCAAAACGGAACGACTCGAGACTACACCAAGTATAAAGCGCTTCAAGCATGGCGGCGACACGGCACAACAGATATCCATCGATAAGGGCATGTAAACAGAAACGAACACAGACGGGTTACAGCGGGCTCGGCTTAGCCGGTGACTAGGGTGGTGTTGGTGGAGATGGCGTTGACGTCAAAGGCGATGGCGTTGACGTCCACATCGTTGTTGACGATGATGAGGTCGCCGGTGACGCTGAGGAGGCTGCCGAGCGCATCCACGTTGGTCAGCGTGGGATTGTTGTAAACCACGAGCTGGCCCGCTGTCTCCAGGCTCTCGAGGCCATCCAAAGTGGTCATGTATTCGTTGCTGTTAATCTCCAGGCTGTCAATGTGCGTGACTGCGCCAAAGAGCGACATGTCAGATAATTGCGTCTCAAAGATGCTCACATAGCCCAGTCCCGCCGGGATCTGGCCCTGATAATCGATGGCATCTTCAAAGTAGAGAGCGGCTGCGTATGTCACCGTGTCCAAAAGTCCATAGCTGGAGCCAGCGCCACAATAAAGGAGAAGGACTAGAGGGCTGTAGAGGTGGGTGACGCCAGCAAGCATTGCCTTGATGTCACTGGCGGTCGACACGTTGCAGATCAAGTCATCGCCGTTGTAGCCGGTGCACATGTAGTCTGTGTAGCCTGGGTTACAGGCGCAAGACAGGCTACCAGCCGGCACCGTGCCAAAGCCGCCACAGGTAGACCACGGCACGCTGACACTGGCGCCGTCAGCAATCTCGACCGTCTCCACCAAGTGCGACCAAAGAGCTTCGCAATCTGCGCACGCATCAATGCTCAGAGCTGGTGCAGAGTTCTGACCGAGCAGAAGCACCGGCTCGGCACCGTTGAGGGCTGAAAAGTTGGTTAACGAATTTGAGGAGACGATGGAGAGCGAACCAATGCGCGCCACATTCTCGAGGCCGGTAAACGAGGTCATCGCAGGGCACGCAAAGATCTCGAGTGCCTCGTCGATGGTGGTCAGCGCGGCGAGTCCCGACAGGTTGGTAAGCTGGTCGTTGTTCTGGATGCTCAGCGAGCCCACCGTCTCGAGCTCGGGCAGCCAATCGATGCTGGTTGCGGGTACAGACTCGATGTGCACGGTCGAGACAGACTTCAAACTCGGAAAGCCTGGCTCGACAATGGGCATGCCAAAGGAGTTGACAATGAGGCTGCCTTCAATGCTCGTGAGGTAGGGGAAGTTGAGGAACGACATCTCCATGCACGTGTCAGTCAGATGAATGTTACCAATCACGTGGCGCACGTTGGCTAGGGTCTGGTTGAGGGTCTCGGCTTGGGCAAAGTCCATGCAGAAAAAGTCACCGGTGATGGTGTCGCACAGCTTGCCCGAGTACTCGGGCGAGGCGCAAGTACACTCGGTCTCGGGAAAGCCTGAATGATAGCCGTTCTGGCATACGAGCTGAAATTCAACAGAGGTGCTGACCGTGCCGCTGCGCTCGACAACAGTCGGGTTGAAGCCCAGCACATTCTCCAGGTGGTCGTTGCTTGTGATATCCACAAAGCCAAGTCGAACAACTTGAACCCCTGCCAGGTCGTCAAGGTTCTTCAGGCCGGTTTCACGAAGGAGCAGGCCGTGCTCGCCAATGGTCGCCAGATGGGACGTGCCCAAGATTTCAACATGGGGGCAGTTGCGGACGTGCAGGCCGCCCACGTGTTCCAGGAGACCTTCGTTGAGGTCTCGGGCGGGCAGGTCATCTAGCAGTAGGGCACCGGGCATCGTGCGCAGCTTAGAAGCAAGGGAAATGTTGTCACAGCCGCTGACACAGGCCTCGTGGTCCGCTCCAATGTGGTTGAGCATCATCGAGATTTGAGGCGGGATGGTTCGATTGACAAACGTGTCCCAGTAGGCCGAGGGCAGTTTGCTCTCCACCTCGTCGAGTGAACAAGCACCAAGCTCAGTGAGATCAGGGAAGAGCGTGCGTCCAACAAGGCCGGCTTCGGGCAGATTGGCCAGGGCGATGCAGCCGGTCACAGTTTCCCAATGATTTTCGGGCCAGTCCGTGGCAAGCTGGGTCGGTGTGGTCGGGTCATAGATGAAAGCGTTGCCATCGATCTTGGTGAGCTTGCCCACGGCGGTGATGGCATCAGCCGTCACGCAGCCATCCGACATGACAAGGTCGCCACGGAGCGTCGTCACGCCTTCAAGCACGGTGAGAAGCAGGGGCACATCACCCGCCAGCGCACAGCGCAGTATGCCCACGCCCACGAACTCGCTACAGAGTGCAGATAGGCCATTGGTAAGGGCTTGGTGTGGGCGGAGCAGAATGCGCAACGTGACAAAAAAAAAAAAATAAAAATAAAAAATAAAAAAACCTACTCGCAAGAGTCACCCGCGTAGCTGCTGTCGCACAGGCACGTCTTGGTATTGGTTGCGTTGTCAATCACGCTGACACCATGAGAGGTGCAGATGGGATGCAAATGATCCTTGATGGCTTCAAGCACTATTATCAGGGCGGCAGGGAGGCAGGAGAAATGGGAACGAGAGAATTCGGCAGATGTGAGCATACGACACTGACGCGGCATGGCATCCAGAAGCAGCAGAACGAGAGAGGTGGGGAAGAGTCAGCGTTTGAGTTCTGACCAGCATTGGAATCAATGGATTGCGAGGCCGAGGGAGGCAGTGAGAGTAGCGCCGCAAGGGCGACAATGGCGATGTGGCGCAGCATCAAGTTGGTGGCCGGTCTGCAGGCGCAGCGATACGGCGGCGAGTTTGTGGGTGTGGTCCTAGAGCTCGGATGCAGTCGTGGATGATCTCCAGTAGAAAAATGCCGAGCTCATCGAGTCGCCTGCACTTGAAGAAGAGGCGAAGAGGTGAAGAGGCAAGGACGAGATGCAAGGGCCTTGGCTTTTGGGCTGGTGCTGTCATTGTGATCTCCTGAGAATAAGAAGAAAGAGGCAACGGTCATAACTGCTCATATGAGCTGCTGGCAGCAGCCTCGGTCCTGGGGTTCTGCTTGAAAACCTGACTTTGCTTCTGTTGCTTATGGTTTTGCTTATGAGATTTTGCTTATGAGATTTGCTTATGAGGGGTCGGGTGTGGCGGAGTGTAGTACGATACTTGACAAATATCGTGAACATACCCTTTTGTTCTCGTAAGGAAGCCCCTATAAATAGACGAAAGTGTGTCAGGTGTTGCTTTTAAGTTTATGGCGAATAATTTGAGGTTGTTGCACTTTATGCCCATTTTAACCCTAGCGGATTAAGGTGTTTCTGTCGAAGAAAAGTGATTTTAAGCGGAGGTGGCTATCATCTGAAAGCAGGATAAGAGACATGCTTGGGTCTGGGTGGTGCTACAGGGGTGGGTCACCACGAGTTTCTTGACTCTACGCGGACTCTCCGCTGATTCCAGGCTGACTCTGCCCTGATTCTACCCTGACTCTGCCCTGACTCTGCCCTGACTCCATGCTGACAACGCCCTCGCCATGTCCTCAACCTTATCTAGTCTCCATGTATACCCTGCTGCTTTTGACTTGCTGTCTCTACGCCGGCACTCTGCTCTCCTCCTCAACCAGTGACCCCTTATTATCGCTCGCACCAGGATCAAGTTTTGCGCATGATCGAATTAGCCCACACACCAAGGGCACAAAAGTTAATGTCGAAGAATATCAAGCAGATGAAGAAGTGATAATCTCGCGTAAGGAAACCTTTGCTGAAAATGTTAAAGAAAAAGAAGAAGCTAAAATCGTCGCAAGAAAAAAATATCAAGAGGCCAACAACACCATGTATTCCCATCTGGTCACCCACGATAGTACTAGCATGGCCCAACATGGCTTAACTGCGGCGATCGGACGAGAGCCGGTGTATTCCATGTGGTATGACCGTTGGCAATGAAGAATCGGAAAAGATTTGTATATGAACATACTCAAGTTAAACGCTTATTTGCGGGCACCTTGAAGTCTCCCTGGCCTCCGTTAAGCCAACTGCAAAGGGTAGCCGACCTCATCTGATCCACTCGGATCGCAGAGTTAGCATCAGAATTGAAATCAAGATCGCGTCATCTCACACACGCGACGCGATACGACATACGATGCTGCCATATACCAAGGACGAAAACTAAAGAAGGACTTTGTGGAGAAAACGTCGTTTTCAACGCGAATCCAAGCCAAGATTTTGCATTTCATAAAGGAGATATTGAAGAATCATCGCCTACTCCATGCGTGGTGTGGTGGTGGTCCTTCACACACGTCGAGATGACCCGGCTGTTGGGCTGTGTCGCCAGCGCCGCGGTGATCATGGTGTGTGGGGTGGTAATGTCCGTGAAGGCTGGTGAAATTGTTGGTGATCCCACCATTGAGGTCGATGCCGATGGCCACCTGCATATAAGCAGTGGTGGCTCGTCGAGTGACTCACGAATTTACCTGAACGGCGTGGATGTGTTGGGCGAGTTGGCCGAGCTGCGAGCGGAATATGGTCAGGATTCCGCCGCGTCGACTCCAAGCGCGACAACACCGCCAGCATCAACCACCCCGTTTTCTCCAACGGATCCACCGGTCGTCTATGATCAGAGCGTTGGCTGCAATTTCATCGACGTGCCGACCAATGTGACGCACATCAAAGGCAGCGTCGACCTGAACACCTGCACGTCCCTGCAAGCATCAGACCTGCAGGTCTTTCAGCGCCTTGTCCGCATTGATGAAGATTTGAGGATTGCTGTAGGTTTCGCTTTTGGGCCTGCTTTCGTGCTCAGTTCGCCCAGCTTCATCGTTCACTTTGGCTGTTCCTCTTCCCGGTGATAGCAAAATGGTGCCTTGGCTCATCTTGACGCGTTTGGCCGCCTCACCACGGTCGGTGGGTCTCTTTATATCCAAGTAAGCTTGCCATCTTTGATTTTCCGGAATTGTATCTTGGTTGCACGAGCACTGTGACGGCGGCATCGCTCTGATCCTGAGAACTTCCTTGCTGTCAGAACAACGGAGGCTTGACGAGCATTGAAGGTCTGAGACGCCTTCAGTTGATAGGCGGCTCTTTCTCTCTTGACGTGCGTGAGATTCTTACCTGACCCTGGTAAATCCATCATATTATTCTTTGCCCTCTCTCACGGATCCGACCTCCTTGATTTATTTTTCGACAGGGCAATCATGCCTTAAGTCGCCTCGCAGGGCTCGAGCAGCTGGGCTCCGTGGGGTCTGGGTTGACGATTTTTGTGGGTGATGCTGCAGATCGACATTGAGCGCTTGGTTACATACCGGTGCTCCATCTCTTACGTTACGAATGCGTTTCTGGTTGCCACTGAAACTCGGCGTGTTGGTTGCTGACCTCATTCAGGCTAACAAGGCACTGATGGACATTGACGGCTTGGGAATGCTGAAGGCAATTGGCGGTGACCTGTTTATCTTTGTAGGTTGGGATGTGCGTCCTGGTAGCGTAAGATCGTGGTCACAACACTGATTAATATCATTCATTTTTGTAGGGCAATTCGCGTCTTGCCAGTCTTGGCGGCTTGCATCAGCTGTCAACTCTCAACGGTTACCTATCCATTTATGTAAGTTTGCGAGCACAGTCCACCACTGTCCCCCAAGCATACGTGCTTCCATGCTGACTCCGCGGAATCAACTGCGCAGGGCAACGATGCATTGTCAAATATGAGCGGGCTTGGACACCTCACTGATATCCCAGGCTATCTCTTCATCCGCGTAAGAGTGCCATCGAGCGGTCCCTTGTCCCTTTGAGGTCACACAGTCTCGAGGCAGGCACACCAGTGTACAAACGTCGGGTTGGCTGGCCTGGGTGTCGAGGCAATGCATGGATCTCACCGTGCACACGTTAGGAAAACAAGGCCTTGACAACAATCGACGGGCTGAGCAACGTGACTCACATTGGCGGTAACCTGCACATCAATGTATGAAATTGCGCGGTACTTTGAGTTATACCGGGCGCTATTGATGGCTGTGGTATATGTCTTGTGAGTGGGATCAGGTCCACCTGGTTTCCGAATAAAACTCAATCATACATTCTGGTGTAGAACAACACTGAGCTCTCTGATTTGAACGGCTTGAGCCGAATCGAATCGATCGAAGGCAACTTGTACATTGCCGTAAGTTTCGGAAAGCCCGCGTTCCACTTCTCCCACGATCCAGAGCGTGTGACCTTTGCCGAGTCTAATTTTTTATCCTTTTTTTTTTTTTTTTTTTGCTGATTCAACATTGGATTTGCCGACCTCCTTTTTTGTTTTTTTTTTTCTTCATGTTCAGGAGAATGCCAAGCTGTCTAGTATCAGTGGTCTGGGCGCGCTCGTTTCGACGGGAACCGCGATTCGGATTTGCAACAATCCTGTCTTAAACCTCACAATGGCTGCGAGCGAGCTCGACGGCTTGGGTGACTGTCAAGTCTTGAGTGCGAATGCTTCGTGCCCGCTGTGCAGTTAAACTTACCTGGCCTCGCAGACATGCCAAGGCAGTCAGGCATGGGGATTGGCCCGGTTGTGGTTTGAAGAGAGCATGCGCGTGATCGGGAAGAGAAGCGTGGTGGTCAGCTCTTGCTGTCATTCAATTTTCACCCTTGTAAAGCTGGTCAACCAACATGATTGGGAAAATAAATAATAAATACAAAAACATCACTTGCTGTGAGTGCAAATGGTGCAACGGGAATGGGGCCGATGCAACCTTGGCAAGTCATTGACATCCTAGCTAGGCGCCGCGGCCAGAGCGGCGGCGACGTCTTGGTAAACCTCAATGACAAAGGCGTGAAGCTCATTGGCCATTTCATCGGCACAGCCGCAGGCATGAGTGGGTAGATGGCAGCACCATGCATTTTCGTCTGGGAGCTTGTTGATGCGATAGTGGTTGGCGTCCCACGTATTGATACCGTGATAGAAACGAAAGTACAACCAGGTGGGGTTGTCCCAGGCAGCTGCGGGAACCTCTGCTTGACGAAGCATCCGAAGGTAGATTGTGTCTTCTGCTCTGCCTTTGGCGCGGTATTGGATGGGGGCCACGGTGGGCGTCTTGAAGACCATGACCGTGCCTTCAATGCCAAAGGCGATGGCAGCTGCAGGGGCCCACAGGCGAAAGGGACACAGGTGAGGCTTTTTGCGTGCGCCAATGGCACTGGGCACGAAGCAGCGATGGCGCGCTGATGGGGCGTACGTTGATGGATATAGCTGCTGTTCTTGGTGAAAAAATATCGGTATTGCGATTTGATGGTCAGCGCGTGCGTGTTTGAGGTGACCATTTCCTTGCCGTTGAGGGTCATGTACTGCCGGTCATGCCAATCTGTGACAGCACAACGAAGGTGCACGAAGAGGAGCACGGAGGGGCGCAAATGAGCATGTGGCGCGCGCCTGCGACCGGCTCGCGCGAGCTTGCGCATACAACGGGGATTCAAAGTGGTGTAGCACAAGCTCGCGCCACCAGTGCTCTTGAAGTGTCATTTTTTTTTTTTTTTTTTTTTTTTTTGGTGTGTGTGTGTGCGTGCGCTTGCAAAAGTGGGCACACTTGGGCCAAACCTTACCATCATCGTCCCATTGTACCCAAACACCGCCGAGCGGCACCGCGTTGATACCAATGTTGCGAAGGTCACCGAGCACGTAGCGCTTTGGCTCCACGCGAATCTCGACAACGCAGGGCGGGGGTGAGGCCATGACGGAGGTTTGCATGTCAGCCAGCCATTCGGAGACTGGGCCGGTGAGCGTGTACTTGGGGGAGTCGTTGATAATGACGAGCACCTTGCGCGTGGCTGCCTGATGGACAAAGGATTCCATTGACTTGCGTGCAAAGTACTCGTGCGCCTCATCCTTGCCGGTGATCATGAGTGCAAAGAAGGTCGGGTCGGCTGGCACCTCATCAAAGCCCTTGGCAACCGCGTTATTGAAGACGAGCTCGAGTTGAGGAAGCAACTCTGCCGTGGGCGGGCTGTATCGAATCTGATAGGACGAGGTCGGGCACGCCGTATACCACACGGGCGCATCAGGCAACTGAGTAACGGTCGTTTCCACATGAACGGCACTTGCCAACAACAGCACCAATTGCAGGGCCACGGCCGGAGCACTCCATCCAACCGTGCCGAGGCATGGCACCATCATGACCCCTGAACAAGCGGCATTCACATGTAAGGAAAAAAAAATTACCAAAAGAAAGACAACAGAGAGAAGGCGAAAGACAACAGAGAGAAGGCGAAACATAAAAAAGAGAGAGAAAGAGAGAAAGGGAACTTCGAACCATAGAAAACATCTGACAATCAAAATTTAATGTGTGTGTGTGTGTGTGTTTGTGTGAGTTTGTGTGAGTTTGTGTGTGCGTGTGTGTGTGTGTGTGTCTTTGCCCGTCTGTCGGTCGGTCTGTCTGTCTGTCTGTCGGTCTGTCTGTCGGTCTGTGTGTCTGTTTGTTTAAGGAAAGCAGCCTTTGAGCGAGAAAGGTCACACACCAAGCCGCCAAGCACAAAAAGGACTTTGAAAGACCGTGACTATTTGCTGGTTTCACAAGTAAGGACATAATTTCATCCCTGCCGTGCCGTTGGATGAGGTTGCAACAAAGAGACGGTGGTCTTTTTCCAGCTGTCCTGTTGTCTTTGCGTTTCCCTTCTTCATCGACCGGCGAGGCCGAGTAATGGGATGGCTTCGGCCGCCAAACGTTCAAAACTGGAAAATCAAATCGCTTTGTCATTCAGCAAGACAAGCGTAAATATGTCCTAGTCTTGAATTTTTCATTTCACCCATGGGTCAAGGGGCTCCTGAGTGGCAAAACAGGCTTTAGGGGCTTGATGTTTGTGTACGGGAGGGGTGATTGACGGGAGCGCCAAGGGTCCAAGACATGCGCGGTGCGAGTGCAGAGAGCGGGTGCACAGCACCCATGGGTCTATGAAGTTGCGCGGGCATGCCGGGGGACGGTGCATACACGGGGTATCCTGTATTGCCGCCCATCATCATGTTTGCTTGGGGCTGCGGATTCAGGGCCACGACGGCCGGCGTTGTTGCATAGTGCGTTGATGGTGGCGCGTATGGATACATGTTGTGGGCTTGCCACATGTTGAAGGTCTGAGCCTGGGCCTGGGCCTGAGCCTGGGCCTGGGCTTGGGCTTGAGCTTGAGCTTGCATATGAGCCTGGACATTCATTTGAGCTCGCACGTCGAGTTGGAGATGGGGCACTGGTGTCGAAAACCCATTCGGGGGCGCTGGCATGATGTCAGACCTTTCAAACTCCATCGATACGGATGGCATGCGTGCCAGCTGGGATGACGGGCCATGATCACTCCATGTCATTGGTTGCGGCCCTGCGTAGGCGGCAGATTGGGATGCCCCCTTCCTGCTCTTTGCTTGCGGCGATGAGCTTGCTCGCCTTGTTGGTGACGATTGAGTATGCCCGTCCCGCTCTTTGGTACTCTGCTTTTGTCGAACTGGCTGATCATCCTCGTCATCCACAAAGAACGCACGTTCGTGACTGTGCGCGCGGCTTGCGAGCCCGGGCTCCTTGTCCGAGTCTGGAACGGCTGTGGACGACAATCTCGTCACACGATCAGAGGAGCGCATAGCGGACTGAGCATTGCCAATGCGTATCGTTGGCTTGGAAGGCGCCTTAACCGTGACGGTGGTCGAGTCTTCCATGTTGGGCTGATAGCGCATCTCAGATAGGTCCACACCCATGCCCACGGCGCCTAGTCGCTGCAATAGAAACTGACGATCTGCCAAGCACGCAGCCAAAGCAACCCGCAGTTGTCTGATCTGGCGCTGAATCATCCCGTTGTCCGGCCCGTGCATGGTGGCCACGTCTTGTTGATCTTCCGCCTCCCGGGCAGCCAGTTTTGCTCGGTGCTTTTTGCGCTGACGACTCCCGCGGGCATAGAGCGCGTTTAGGCGGCGTCGTCGCAATCGCTTCAAAGCTGCCACCTCATCAGGCCTCAAAGCGTTTTGCTTCAGGTGCAAGTTAAAAGTGCGGCGCGGGCCCAGCAATGTATGATCTGAGATCCCCTTCAGCGCAGTCAGAGATGGTTCATGATCCTCCTCATCGAGATTATCGATATCTCCCTCCTCCTCTTCCACCACTTCATCCTTGTCGCGCCGCTTGACGGCGTCCAAGGTGCGCGACACAGAACGTTGAGCCAACGGCTGTGAGGTTTCCTTCTGCTGCTTGCCCAGGCCTCCATCAGCTCGAGCACGCTTGGAAACAGGGGGGGCGCCAGTCGGCAGGGATGTATTGCTTTCCGGGGAAGGGGCGGGGGATTCTTTGCCTCGAGCGAGTGATTGGACAGCTGAGCGTTTGAAGGAAGCGGGAGGTAGGGTTGCTGCCTTTGCAGAAGAGGAAGAACAGCCCCTTTGATCACCGTTTGGAGCAGCTGTGCGGTCGCCTGCCTTGGAGGAAGTTGGGCTGCAAAGACGTGCGGCCGGTGCGGATTGACGGGTGCGAGACTGTCCCGCGTCATGAACAGCCTGTGCTGGGGCATGTTTCAATAGCCTGGGTCGTGGCGTAGGCGGTGAAAGTGGTGACGGTCGACGAGACTTGGGAGCTTCATCATCACTTGCTAGAGGTAACTCACTAACGCCGTCGCTGCTGGTGTCATCGGTACCAGTGCCGCTGTCATGCTCGGAACCACTGCTGATACTTTTGCTTGAATGCATACTGCTGTTGCTGCTGGTGCTGCCGCTGCTCCCTTGCGTACCGGGGTCTTGGTTTTGGGTGTCAACGGGCACGGTCGCCTCGTTGTGCTGGGTTGGGGCATGTGATGGTTCCGAGTGATCGGAAGAAGGCATGCCTGGGCCGGCTGGATGAGTGGCGACCGCCGTTGACCTTTCCCTTCGCGTCGGAATGGGTGACACTGAGGAGGAGCTGCGTTCCATGAGAATGGTGCGCAGGCTAGGCGCGTTGCTCGCCCCGGGCGTCTTGCTCGTTGTTCAAACTAAACAGCAAGCTTGCTGGCTGCGTTTTTCATGGAGCAAAGGGTTTGACGGTTGAAGAGGGTGAACTTAGCGCGATCCTCAGGTCATGGTGTCAAGCTGTCATGGGCGAGCCAGAGATGATCAGGTCTGTTTGTTTCTTCCGTCCACAGATGGCAAAGCAGCCGACGTTTGAAAGGGCTAATAGATAGTGGCGGTGCAAAAGGCAATCGATGAGATTTGGGCGTTGAAAGTGCAAAGTGGGACGGGCGGTCAGGATAAAATGAGAAAGAGCGCACGAGCGAGGATGGATAATGGAAGAGATGCCGAGAGCGATAAGGGAAGCGAGTCGACATGATAGCAGGAAAGCAGGTTAAACCCAAAGCAAAGGATAAAGAGAGGGGGGGAAGGGGGACAAAGATGACCAAAGAACGAAAAGACCGAGCCTGATGCACGAGGACACGGCCCGATAACACGCAAGAAGCGCGAGAGAAAACGGGTGATCGGGAACATGTTCATTGAAAGAGGATGCCCAAAGGGCGGCAAAGCAGTCAATGCGCTCGAATCCAACACTGGCAGCTCAGTTCATCATATCTCACCTTGGTGATTTGGTGCACACAAGCAGGCAAAAGGGAGGGAAGGGAGAGGAAGAGGGAGAGGAGTGTTGGGGCTGGGCCAGGTTGGTGCTCCTTGACTTTGAGAACGCCTGGTTCTTTCACCATCAGTGCTCTGTCTACAAGGGTCAGTCGGGCAGGGCACGTCGTCAGCCGGGATCAAAGCGCCAGTGGGAACGGGAACAACGGTCAACCAAGAAAAGAAGAAAAAAAAACAACTTTGTTCACATGGTTCACATTGATTAGACCGAGCGGGCAAGCACCAACAACACACAAGGGAGGGAGCACAACTTTGGATGGCCAGCGGTAAGAAGTCAAGGTCAGCCAGCAGGATGGGGTGCCTGCTTGCACATGAGCAGCCCGGATCAGAGCGGGACAGGACTCATTCCCGTGCACGTGTGCGACCACCACATTGCATATCGGAAGGACGCAAGGACAGGTGGCCCATGGGATGGTGCATACCCACCCAGCCCACAGCGCATGACCCCCGTGCAGGTGGTGGACGTTGTCGGCGAACAGAACACAAGAACAAACGGAAAAGACACACAGAAAAAGAAAGGCAAAAACAAAAAAAGGAAAGAAAACAGAGAGAAAGGGAACAAAAAAAATCGTGCAGAGGGGGGAGCGTTGGGGATGGGCTTTGCCGAAGCGGGGGTGGGGGGAAGAATGACGCGTGGCCTGACAGGTCTGTGTGTGGCAAGTCAAGTG